TCCTTTAACAGGAGCGCACGCAGTGACTGTGGGATGTCAGTGTTGGATGTCACCCAATCCAGTCACTGAATGACAGCAGCATGGCTGGTGTACTGTTATCTGTGCAATTATACCCCACAGTATCACAATAATTCTGAGGTACGTTTTGATGCTCCAAGACATTTTACACACACAGATGAAGAAAATGAGGAACTGATGGAAAATTCACAGACCCGGAGTCAATTTAAACTTGACAGTTGCAGAGAATTGGTATGAAATATCCTGAGAATTGTTGTACCTGTACGGTTGGCATGTAAAAAGCTCTGCGAAAACAAATGGTGGGTGGCAGTTGAGTGAACTGTGCTGCCAAGAAAACAGACAGTTTCAGCCCAGAGGAAGCTTTTAGAGATCTTTTTGATCTTTGTGGTGTCAGAACTTTTTACGCTGAACATGTGTCAACTTTGCCAAAGTCACAATGATCAGAAACTTTAAAGCACAACAGTTAGGGCATGTTGTGTTTGAATCACTTTTAGATACAAGATATATATTTACTTAAAGAGATTTTCAGTTTTAACCTTTCAATTAATTTAAAGCTGCATTAATCCATACTTCACATTAACAGTGTATCCAGTGACTGTATGTAATGTGAGGAGGTTCAGTTGTAGTGATAAATCCACAGAGAATTATCACCCGGCTGTGCAATTACCCTTGGGTTTTACTGTCTAAGTCTATATTAAGTGTTTAGGTTTTATGGCCTGCATCTTCTATGCTCAGTCTTTTTAATCTCATCAACCACTCTCAGCCAAAAAGTTCTGCGAACCCACGGTACAGTACCTGTCCACCATTAAATAGCATACTGACAAAGTTAGAGAACAGCCGCTCAACACAGTCGTGCATTAAGAAGCTAAAGTATCAGAAATGTCCTTCAGCTGTTAGAAGTGAACAAACAGCATAAAGAAAGACGGAGTATTGGACTCACATTCTTCAGGTGGCCAGAAACACAAATCCACAACACAAATGCTAATGTTGACAACATGTTTGCTTCTAAAACCTTAGAGGGTACTAATATGTAAATGTTTTTAACTTAAATCGACTTTAAATGAAGCTGGTATGAAGCAGGTATTTTTATAAAGCAGACATGGTTGGAGAGAACACTTGACTTTTGGTTTAAAACAGGAAACAAAGTAAGCACATGTTATCACAGTTACAATACAAGCTACAATAAAAGTGATGGAACAGTCATGGTTCAAGGAAAACAATTGATTTGAAATGGTTTCTTACATTAAGCCAAATTGTTTGTACACCCATCCATCCACCCCAACCTCATGTCTGACAGATTTTGTGGCTCTATATAAGAAACCAGACTACCCAGAATGGGAAGAAGCCAGAGTACCAAAAGAAACCCCCATGCAGATCATTTTCCAGATAATTAATTTCACTACAATTCAGGTGTTTAGTTTTGACATTGATTTGAATTCATCCAACATTAAAAGCTGCAGAGTGTAAGTCCCACCTCAACAGCAGCGTTCTAAGTGATTGCAGACTGGTCAGAATGTTGTATATTGATAGCTTAGTTTTCATTTATTTATACATCATACATAATTTGTATTGAAATTCTGACCCTTTCAAGCATATCCCCCCAGATTCCTGTTGGACTGCAAAAGTTTGCCAGTACATTTAACTGAAGAAAAACAACAAAATCTTCACAGCCAGACGGAGTGAGAAGACATGCGGACAGTGTTGCTGAGTGCAAGAAGCCTTCCACTGAACTGTGAGACAGTGCAGTCTGAAGGCACTTCAGCCAAATGATATGCCTCTCACTCCCTCTCTCTCTCTCTCTCTCTCTCTCCCACCCCCCTCCTGCCGTTCGCAACTAGTGTGTTTTTGTCTCTCTGTCCAAGTGTTTACTCTGGCTGGGGTTTTTTCAGTGCTATCTCTTCCATCCTCTTCCATCCAAGTCCTCCAACTTACAAAACCTCTTTTTATCACCACACAAAGGCAGCTATGTACTTCTTTGTGTCATGCTTGTTACCCTCTCCCTCTTATGTTCTGGTGGTCTGCGGACCGCCCGGCTTCATCATCCCCCCCTCACGTCCCTCCACTCCGCCTCCAGACTGCAATAATGTGTCTAAGTGCAGCTCAGCATGGCGGTGAATGGGGACCCTTTTCAATACCACCTGCCATTTATCTAACCCTCGGCTGGTTACAGGTGGAGGAGAGAGGCAAAGCTCTGAGCTCAGATGTTTGTGATGGGTGGAAGGCATGGATCCCTGCTGGGCCTCCAAAACAACTTTTCTGCGGTTCAATTTCACATACAGTGATGGAAAGAGTACACCTAGTGTGTTTGTGACACTGTGTGCATGTGTTTGATGAGGTGTCAGATACCTGCTTGTTTTGCAGAAGGGTAAGCTTTGAGGACAATAATACAGTTTACTGTGGCGTATATCTTTGTACCTTTTTACGAGACCCAGTGAAAATCACTATATCACTTATATCTCAGGTTTTCTGTTACGGATTTTTATGATTACTTTGTTCCAAAGTATATATGTGTCACTTAGTCAGACATCAAAGCTTTCATCCTTTTCAAATAGTCAGCATTTTCATTTTTGTGCAAATGGAAAAGTAATACCCAATGGTTCCCAGAACATTGTGAGGAAACTTCTTTTTAGTCTAAAAATGTTCTAATATTTACTTTATGCCCCTCTATCCATCAGGCTTAATGTCCCTATGTTCTGTGTGCTGCAGCTAGAGACAACCTATTTGAGAATACGGGGTATTTATTGTTATTTTGTCTTTCTGGCAACAGACATTTACTTGAAAAAAGCAGCACAATGTTGTGATTTATCAGTAATGCTTTTGTCACAGCTGTGATCCATAACAGCAGACGATCTGTGCTGAGAATGGAGTGAAACACACTCAGACCCAGATTCTCAGTTGGAAACTAACACTCAGAAATATTTGTCTGACTTTGATAGGTCAGTCTGTTCTTATACTTGGCTCATAAAGTTATAAAAATACAGTAGCTGAAAATTTCTTAGGATGTGCAGTCGTCAAGATTCCCTCTCTTTCTGCCCCAGGGAGCACTGTGACATTATTAACAGTGATTTCATCTGGAAGTGTGGGTTCACATGCTAGCAAGGCTCAGCTGAAAACCACTAAATGTTATTTTTTCTTTCACAACCACACAATAAAAGCTCTGTTCAACCCACGTCACTCAAAAGATGTAGAATCAGCTCCGGAGATGCTTGATTTTAAGGACATCTGTCCATATTATCCATTTTGAACATGTGATTTAGTTTAAAGATCTAATGAATTTTGTTGATGTCTGAAGGAAAATGATGGAAGGTTTAAACAACATATGTGTACCGGTATTTGTTTGGCTAGAGCTGAGGAGTGAAAGCTCCTTTTCAGCAATGCCTTGCTTTGCACTCAATTTTAGTCTTATGTAAAGAAAACATATGAAAGGTAAGGTTATTCTGAACACTGCCTCCTTTATACGTGTGGATACAATAAACACACAAAGTCTTGTTTTTGAATAGTTTCTTCCAGCTGACAGCCGACACAAGAAGAGTGGGATGCATTTCATGGGTTGCAAAGAAGTACAGGCATTTGAATGCTGCTTTCTGGTTGTTTTCTTTTGAAGAAAAATCGCTTGAACCTGCTTTCTCAACATTAACTGGATGTGTGTAATAAAAATGTGAAACTGCATCCAACAGTACACAATGTGTTCCTGCTTACAGAGATCAGTGGACAGGGCCTGTACCAGTAGAGGGCACTTTAAACCACAAGAGTTTTTTACTCTGCGTAGAAGGTGTCATGATGAGACAGCAATGAAATCTTCCCATGGTGCATTACAAAACATTTGCCTGATGTTTGCACCACTCTACAATACAAGTATCTGTGATTCACACTTTATCAACAGGTGGGTAGAGTTTCCACCTCTGATCATGTTGCTCTAAAGATAGACAACTTCATATTGCAGCACTAACATAAAGGAAAGCAAGGAAGCTAAAGATTCATATAATGTGTGACCAGTTGTAATAAATCATGCTGGCATGGCAGCAACCATTACACTGATATGATATTTCTACAGATGCAGTTTCCTAGTGCACAAGTTAATGCATTTTAATCTGTGTGCAGCGATGCTAAAGCCCCCCCATTACAACGAGATGTGATTTATAGTTGCTCTTTGAGAATGGTGTAAAGAAGTTATCAGTTACAGTAGTGGAGAAACGTGCTCAGCTGGTGGAAAGTGTTCTGCGGCTCCACTAAAGTGATGCCAGAATGAGTCTGAACCAGCACATAAAGGTCACTGTAATTTAGTGAAGCTACAACTAAGAGTGAATAATGTTAGCGACATCTTTTTTTTTTCTTTTTAAAAAAAAAATGTATTTACACTTCATTTCTTCCTAATTTATTACTGGAAAAGTAAATATATCTGTCAAATATGCAGCAGTTGGTGGCTGGATTTTTGTGGCTTCAAGCTTTGCCTTCAAAATAAAAGCAAAGTAAATGTTTGGTTGGTTACAGCTGGTGGGAGATCTAGCTTGCTATGCGTTGGTTTTTTAACACACACACACACACACACACACACACACACACACACACACACACACACACACACACACACACACACTACACAACTACATTTAAATTGCCTCGACAAACTAAGTGTGATAAAAAGTCCATACAATGAATAAGTAAGGCAACAACAACAAAAAAAAGGAGAAAGATAAAAGCCAAAGGTCAAGGAATTAAGTTAAGTTTTTAAAGCATCATTTTCATATCTATCAGTATTCTGTACAGGTCAGCCTCATTATTTATGTAAAACTGTTTCGAGGTTCTTTAATTGTGAAAAGCTCACACATGATGCTAATAAAATCTTGCTAGCTGCATCCTGACACCGGGAGCGACCACGACTTTGTTAACATTCCAGGACAGTCACAGTTTCAGAATATTCCACCTCATGTTGCTCGTGGATATTAATTGTGAAGCCCTGGAGTTGCCTGGGCCCGTCTCACGGCTCTAAACTTTGTTCTTGTCTGTAAAGTCGCAGAGTGAAGCGGCTCCTGGAGCAGCCCTCGTGCAGACTCCTCCCATGAGTTGTCCTGGGAAACACTAACAACTGTAGAAAGTCAGTCGTGCTGCTCCTCGACAAGCCGCACCGAGATCCGAGAAACTGCCGCTGCCGCCGACATCCACCTCACTTTACTGTACGAAGCTCTCAAAGAAGGACACCAACTACCAGCACCGCAGGTTCATCCATTAGCAGGATTATTATGCGTTCAGAAGCTGCTGCTGCTGCTGTTGCTTCTTCTCCTCTCTGAGCTTCAACTGCAGGAGGTAAGAGGAGTCGTTTACAACCAACACCGTTATTAACTTTACTAATGAATGGAGCCCGGCGTCGCTTTGTACGTTTTACACCGAGCAGAGTTGTTAAATGGCTGCTGGCCGCTGGGCTTTTAACTTGTTGCTTGGTAGCCATGACATCCTCATTCAGAGCCTGTAGGGCCAATGTGCTCACTTCTCATGTTTCTGTGAACCCAGAGAGCAGCACAGGGCTCCCCCCAGTCATGTAAGATGATACTATACAAAGGAGAGAAAGTTTAGAAGGTGAAAAAAACAACAACAACAACAACAAAATACCCCCGCGGTATTAGTGATGTTAATGTGCTAACATAGTGAACCAAGTGCGCTAGCATCACTAAGAACTTTCTAGGTAGCTTTACATGTTGTCGCCATTAAAGAGTAGGCTTTAGGAAACTTGAAGCAGCTTTGTGCACTATTTACTAATATACAGAACAATTATAAATACTCAGAGAAATATTGGACATGCAGAAGGCCCTACCATTAATAAATTGCATTATTTAATTACATTTAGCAAGACATGGGTAGAACAAAATTTTCTGATTTATTAATCAAAGCAATTTATAATGTGACCTTAAATTACTCTGTACAACTTTTGTGGTTGATACAATCATGGAAAATGCCATTGTTTAGCCTTAATCGTCTATAATGGAATAATAACATTGACTATATCTCAAATGAAAACTACATTAGGCACCATATGGGTTTCACAAAATCACTGCTGGGAAGCACAGATAAACTTTAGATAACTTTAGGGTGTTTTTTGTAGCCTTAAAGACTATTTTATTGTCCAGCTGTAAGAGCTGATTTCACTTCACACTTTATTTTTATTGCCCATGGGAAGGTCTGCACACATGTAAGAAAAAAAGAGTAACTAACTAATTTATTTACACCCGCTTAACCTCACATATTGCAACTAATCAATCATAGTAAGTCATGATGCAACATACAGTTACTTTTCTCACCTCTGATGATTTGATGAAGTGATGGACCTTGATGTTGCCCAGCCCCAACAGTCTGTATCAGAAAATTTGCATTTGCTGTATTCCAAACAAAACCCTCATTAAGCATGATGAGATTATGACAAAGTCACTGTTGGGAAGCACAGACAAACTAGATGCCTTTAGGCTGGGTTTTTCCATTAAGAAAGTCCCGCTGTAAGAAGCGATTTCCCTTTCCATACTCATGGGAAGGTTGGCACACATGTAAGTGAAAAGTGTAGCCTAGTAATTTATTTACACCAGCTTGACTTCGCAAAATGATTTTTGTGATTATTAAATCTTAATTAATTTAGAATGTGACATTAAAATGACTGTTTTCAACTTTAGTGATAGAACTAATGATTAACACCAACATTTCCCAGCCTTAGCTGTATATATAAGAAGATTTACATTGACTACATCCCAAAGAAAACCTACATTAAGCACAGTGAGATTATTACAAAGTCAGCGTTGGGAAGCACAGACCAGCTGTAAGAGTTTATTTCACTTCATCCTCTATTTTTCATACTCATGGGAAGGTCTACACACATGTAAGTGAAAACAGTAGCCTACTAATTCATTTACACCAGCTTGACCTCACCCACTTAAACATGTTCAAAGGACCAGGCGTATAAACATGGCTGCCTTCTGGCTTCCCATGCTATAACACACCCATAAGTTTGCTCTGAACACGAACCTCATGTTCTTCTCATCTACTTGGACTTCATCCCACTCCGCCTGAGCCTGAGTACAACCTCCTGCAGTGACGCTGATCAGTGGTCTGTTCAAACTGAATCAGCTGATCTCCTTAAGGAGAGTCAGACACTAAACGCGTTACATATTCCCAGTGTCTTTCAGGATTATCCCTTGCCTCAAAATCAACACTAAGCTGACAAGTGATTCCACGCTTCCTTAATACCCGCTTTAACACCCACAATAATATTATTGGATCCTTGGATCCCACACTAATGTTTCATCTGAAATTGTCGCCAGTTTTAAGGTAGTTTTTAAGGGGAAAAAAAAAGCAGAAATAACAGAGCAAGTATGACGCTGTCAGAACAGAAGACGCTGTTGTCGTCACTCCTCTAACATAGTGGCATGACCCCTTGTAATCACAGATTTTTATTCCCCAAACATTTTGTGACAAGTCATTGCAAAGTTTCCCACAGTCATTGTCGACTCACTAGAACTGGCTGTGGTGTCCATCAGGAAGTCCAGTCATCGACCTTTTCTGTATGTGGATGCTTTTCCCTGTAGGCCTGGCCTGTAAATCTGAGTCAGTGCCTGAGAATGTAGGCCAAGTATTCACCATCCCCATATTATATTCTGCAGAGGAGGTGACAGTGAAAGAAGGAAATGAACATGCTGTAACTCCTTCCTGGAACTTCTTACACAGGAGGTGTGTCAGATTCACAGTAACACTTAAGCTAGTATATCTGCATTTGAACTTTTATGTGTCAAAGGGAAGTTTGTATAATCTGACTTTCCTCCAAACTGTTGGCTGTGGAGCAAATACATTGGAGAGATGTGGGCCTTCAGTGCCTTGCTTAACTTTGGCAGCCACCTCTACAAGAAGGTTTTAGATAGACGCTGCATCCTTATAGTCCTCCAAGTAAACTCAGGGATTTGAACCATCAACCACACACCTTGTTAACTTTCATTCTTATATTCTGATTCTACTTAAGGGTGTGTTTGAATAATTTTAAACGGTTGAGTTAAGAAATTTTTTCGTGTTTTTGAGCAATCATTAAAATGTATCCTTTGTATTTGAAAGTGTTGGTCAGTACAATGCAAATTAAATAATTCTTAATCCGCCAAGTTATAATTATCAAGCTTTGCAAGAATAAATGTGCATGCAAAGAGTTGAAGGATTAGTGCCACATTTTTAGGAAACGTGTGTGGTGTACTTTATGGCCAAGGATTCGATGTGAAGATCAGAAGTAGTCTTATAAATGTCCAGCAAGACCAGTGTTATATTTTCTGCATTTATGTGTTAATAAATTGTGCAGTTTTGCTCATGTTTGGCAGTAGTGTGCATGCGAGAAAGTGAATCCGTAGATACGACCCACAACACGATCCACATGTATGGAATAGATTACAACCAAACGAAAACGAGAAAAGTTGTATGACAACAACTACGCGACCGTGGGTGTTTGCAGCTGTCTATGTGTGTGTCCACAAAAGACTGTAGTCAAGGGTTAAATTTTATATTAGCGGCCAGCCAGCTTAGCTTAGCATAAAGACAGAAAGCAGGGAAAATAGCTAGCATGGCTCTGTCCAGTTTGCAAAAGAATGTGTGCCTCCAAGAAATAGTTATAAACCACAGCTTGTGGTTCTCATACTTTAAGTTTTGAATGGATGAAATAATCAAGATAAAAATGGGTTGATATTGAAGATGCTGCCTGAGTTTACTGTTGGACAGAAGTATGCAGGCTATCTGTTTTCACCCGCTTCCAGTTTTTCTTGAAATGCAAGCAGCATAAAAATATATCTTTCAAAACGTTATTTCTTTAAGGTTTGAATTTTCAAATACCAACTTTTAATGTTAACATGTTACAGTCACTAGATATATATTTTTTTCATCGCAATATATATATATACATGTATTTATATACATGTAAAATTCTGCATTTAATCCCAAAATGTAATCTCAGTGCCTCCTCTTCAGCTGATGCTGTTACCCGGAGTGGCAGACAGTGAGTGCAACAGTAGGCTGAGCTGCAGCTGAGTTGTTAAACTGCAAACACTCCAAAATCCAGTAAACATCCATCCACATTTATTTTTTTTTATTCTCAAGACTGAAGACATCAGGAGAGGACGACGCTATGTTTCCACAAAACAAAAGCTTATTAGTCTGCTCTCTGTGCCTCTCACAGCAACATTTAGGCTCACTTGTGAGGCTGTCCAAGTCAGAAATATGTATTTAGCTCCAGTACAAGAGACAAATGAAAGAGGAGTTGACTTCCCATTTTGAGTACTGTAAATTTCCATGAGGATTCTGCTGGCTCCAAGCTGAATGCAGCCAATTTCTCATCTGTGCAAACCCCCTAATTTAATGATGATGGAGGATATGCACGGAGTTGGCCTTGTAATTACACTGTATTTACTATAGAATGGAAGCATTAGAGGAAGTCTTACAGGTACTAGTTCATCATGTAGCGCAGCCTCAGGGATGGGTTTTGGTATGCCCGGGAGGGTGACTGCCGAATTCCCCGCTGATATTCACACTAAAGCCTTGACTTAGTTTTTGTTAAGACTGGAATCGCTGGAATCCTCTCAGCATGCCAAACAGCAGCCGCACTCATTGTTCCAAAACAGCAGCCATCTCCACAGCTTGTCCAAACGCTGTGCCCTGGAGTAGTGTTTCTTTTCTCCTGGAAATTATCAAGCAGACTTTGTTGTTAATTGTTAATGTGCCTGTGGTGTTAAAAAGACTTTCCATCATAGCTTGTGTTGGCTTTCTACAAAAATTGGCAACTTTGCATCTTTGAGGTTTGGCTTAAAATGAACTATTTACAACTCTCTGGCACTGACATGTGCAGCATGGGTGTAGCATCCTGTAAACAAGTACGATAACATTAACAGTCCCTGCATGCATTCAGCTAAACACATCATTATTATATGTGTGTTCTGCTTGATCAGTTTGGCTCTTGTAATAATTTATAAGGTGTAATGACCCAGATGTCTCGTCATGAAAATCACCTCCTGAAATGATCCGAATGGCAATAAAATAAATCTGTGTGCAGACCAGGACTCGAATCGCAATATGAGCAAATGCAATAGCCAAATCGCATGAGCTGCAATTTTTTGATAAAGATAGAATGTGTCACAACAAAACATTTTAAACGAAGCATTGTGGTTCTGCAGGGATGCCCTGGCCTATAAATCATATTCTCCAGGTGTAAGGGAACATGCTTGTTTGATACAGACTGCAGCAAACATTGCATCATCATATTTATAGTGTTTCTTTCAGTGGAAAAGAAATACAAAAATAAT